TCACAATTAATTTGATTCAGCTCACAAAAATTATAGGAATTAATTACATATCAAAATATTAATATTTTCCAAAATTCGAAATTACTTCCCAAAAATCACCCATGGGGCCCACGTCTTGGAATCCGATAAAACTCACAGAATCAAAACCCTCATTCAATCACGAGTCCAACCATACCAAAATTACTCAAATCCGACCACAACTCGGCCTTCAAATCCTCAATTAAAGTCTATGAATTTTTCTACTATTTTCAACCCAAAACACTAATTTGTTGATAAAAACAATAATAGATTCATGTAATTTAACCAAAACCGAGTTAGAATCACTACCCCAATCCATATGGTGAAAATTGCCTCAAGCATCGCTTCAGTCCGAGCTCCATAGCTCCAAATATGTTAAAATGACCGAAACCTCAAAATATATCTTCTATCCAAGTATTTACTCTTCGCGATCGCGAAACACAAAAATTTCAGCCCCAAAATTGCTCTTCGCGATCGCGAAAAATGCTTTGCGATCGCGAAGAACAAACTCCCCAACTCTTCCAGACAGCCTCTAGTATAATGGTCCTAACGTTTTGTACAAAACTCCAAATTGCTATTGGTTTTACTTTCTAAAATTTAGACATCAAGGACTATAACTTTCATTTGTTTCTCATCTCCCAATTCCTTATAGATTGTTAGATATAAGCTTCCAAAATCAGCCCTATGCAACAGAGATTTCCAAATTCTTCCCAGACAGCCTAGAGTGTATCCACCACAACTTTTTATACAAAACTCCAAATGACAATGGTTTACATTTCTGAAAACTAGACATCAAGGGCTACAACTTTTATTTTTGGATCATCTCCAAATTCCTTATAGATTGTGAGATGTAAGCTTCCAAAGTCGGGTTAGTGCAGCAGAGATTTTGTTCTACGCAATCGCGAAAGAGCTTTCGCAATTCACAAGGTTCCAAACTGCTGTTTGCTCTTCGCGAACGCGACCCAATGTTCGCGATCGCGGTGCACACTTCTGTAGGCAGAAACCAGCAACTAAAAATGGCCTAGAAATCGTCTGAAACCACCCTGAAACTTACCCGAGCCCCCTCGGGACCCCAACCAATTATACCAACAAGTCCTAAAACATCATATGAACTTAGTCGAAGCCTCGAATCACATCAAACAATGCTAAAACTACGAATCGCACCTCAATTCAAGTCTAATAAACTTTGAACTTTCAAATTCTATATCTTGTGCCGAAATATATCAAATCAATCCTGAATGACTTCAAATTTTTCACACAAGTCATAAATGATATAACGAAACTATTCCAATTTCCAGAATCGGATTCCGACCTCGATATCAAAAAGTCAACCTTCCGGTCAAACTTTCCAAAAATTCAACTTTCTGCATTTCAAGCCTAATTCCACTACGGACCTCCAAATAATTTTCCGGACACGCTCCTAAGTCCAAGATCACCATACGGAGCTATTGAAATCATCAGAATTAAATTCCGAGGTCGTTTACACATAAGTCGATATCCGATCACTATTTTAACTTAAGCTTTTAACCTTGGAACTAAGTGTTCCAATTCATTCCAAAACCTCACCGGACCCGAACCAATTGCACCGGCAAGTCACACAATAACTGTAAAGCCCAATTTGAGCAGTAATTGAGAAAACAGGGTTGTAATACTCAAAATGACCGTTCGGATCGTTACATTTTTCGAACTTGATCACCACTTGAGTAGGGTTTACCAAAGGCTTTCAGATCGCCAATGATTTTGCTAAATCTTGCAAACATTTCTTTAATGGATTCTCTTTCTTTCATTTGGAAGAGTTCATAATCATGAACCAACATATTTATTCAAGTTTTTTTCACTTTGTTGATTCCTTCATAATTAACTTTCAGTTTGCCCCACATTTCTTTGGAAGTATCACAGTTTGAAATTTTCTCATACTCTTCTCCACTTATAGCATTATAGAGCAAGTTTCGTGCCTTAGAATTAACTTGAACGACAACCATTTGCTCGTCTATGTATTCATCTATATCTTCAAGATCAGCCGGTGGTTGAGATGCTGCTGGCAGTGCATAGTTCCCCTTTTTATGACATTCCATGCTTTGACATCATAAGGTTTTGCATAAATTTCCATGCGTACTTTTCAGTGGGAGAAATATTGTCCATTGAAGTATGGTGGCCTTACTTGCGATGTCCCTTCTTGAAAGAGTGCTCCAATCATTACTTGGTTTGACATTATCTTTTCTCACTAGTTGTTAAGCAAAAGACAAAAAGTGTGAGACTTGCTTTGATACCAATTGAAAGTACAAGAAAGGGAGGGTGAATTGTCGATTTTTATTTTTGTATTCTACGTAGTTGACTAGTTTATGAATTAGTCGACTGAAGATAAGAACATAATAAAGGTAAAGCAGAAGTAAAGTGTAGGAATTAAAGACACCGGGATTTTTATACTAGTTCGGATTCAATGTGAATCCTACGTCCAGTCCCTTTAGGTTGCAAGAGTGCTCTCTTTTAGTATTTGAAGTTTCTCGATTATAAGAGAGTTGAGGTAGCTTTACACCAACAACTTAGTCACTATGTCACTTCTCTCTTCTTGATACAATGGCTCACCAGTGTTTATTTATTTTTCTTCTCTCACTAATTATACAACAGATCTAAAGAGAACTACAATGCTTGTTTGGAGTAGAACAAAAAAAGTGATGGTGGTTCGTTCAAAGTATATCTGCTTCAATCTTGGTACAAATGTATATATACTTTGTGAGGCCTTCTTGACTCTTGATTGGCGTGAATCTTGAGAGATTACAGACCCAATGGAGTTGATCCTTGAAAGGAATTGTAGACTGATTACAACAACAACTCAGTAGAATCCCACCAGTGGGGTCTAGGGAGGGCGGAATGTACGCAAACCTTACCCCTACCCCCGAAGGGATAGAGAGGTTGTTTCTTAGTGGAAGACTAATTCTTTCCAAGAATAAAGTGAAGTTTCCGTTGATTTTCCTTGACTTATGGCCTTGATGGACTTTTCTTCCGCTAAGGAGATCTTTCTGTTATTTGAGTGTTCAAAGTTGGATCCCTAGATTCCGGGATTTAACGACCTGCCTTTGATCGAGGAATCTCAAGTACAGAGCTTCGCAATCTCGTTTTCCTTTAATTTGGGACCTTCCTATAATATCCTCTGTCAATCTGCTATCAAATCATTGATTGATTCTTCTTTCAGATTTCCACTACTTGTTCCTTTTTCGTCTCTAATCTTGATACTTTTTCTTTCCTTTGCTTCTTGAGTTTCCATCATTCTCCTTCCTTACTTGCTTCCGTTGAGAGATTTTTTCCTTAATTATTTTTACTTCTTCCATACTTGAATGATTGGGCTTCTTGAGTCCTTTGTTCTATCCCTCGTGATCCTACACCATAGCAATATGTGATTTTTCATTATTGAAACTTATATTTAACATAAACCACTTATAAGACTTCTCATAATGAAAATGTCATTATTACCATCATTTCCTTTTTATCTTAGTTCTTGGATGGATGAGTTATATTACTACTGTTTTAGGAGTGAGCCAAAAAAAGAAAACGAAGAAAAGACAGAATTGGGAACTACTCGAAAGTTGAAAAAGATAACCATAAATTTGGGTTAATTTCACTTATGGTCATTAAACTATCTTTCAATTTTACTAAAGTCATATAACTATTTTTTGTCACTTAAAAGTAACTAAACTTTATCATTATCACTTAAAAGTCATTTTGCCTCAAACCCCTACTATAAATATGACATGGCATTAAATTTTATGATAAAAATTCAAAAATAAATGCCACATAAGCTAATATGGATCATACCCATTTTAGATCCATTTATTCTTTAATGTGATTTGATCCATAATACAAATGAGTTTTGATAAAAAAATATATTAATTCCACATTAGTTTAAAATGATTATCTTATACTACAAAATTTTGTCTTTTCTGTCACAGCACATTCATAATTATTTTATACTAAAATAATCTATGCTAGAAAATTCTTATCTTGTTTGTATGCCTCATCTGAGTCATTTTATAACTCTACTGAAGCTAAAATACTATTGTATACAATAGTATTTTAAAATGACTCGGATGGGGCATACAAACAAAATAAGAATTTTCTAGCATAGATTATTTTAGTATAGAATAATTATGAATGAGTCGGATGGGGCATACAAACAAGATAAGAATTTTCTAGCATAGATTATTTTAGTATAGAATAATTATGAATAATTCGGATGGGGCATACAAACAAGATAAGAATTTTCTAGCATAGATTATTTTAGTATAGAATAATTATGAATGTGTTGCGACAGAAAAGACAAAGCTTTGTAGTATAGATAATCATTTTAAACTAATGTGAATTTAATATTTTTTTTATCGAAACTCATTTGGATTATGGATCAAATCACATTAAAGAATAAATGGATCTAAAATGGATATGACCCATATTAGCTTATGTGACATTTATTTTTGGAATTTTATCATAAAATTTAATGCCATGTCATATTTATGGTAAGAGTTTGAGGCAAAATGACTTTTAAGTGACAATGATAAAATTTAGTTATTTTTAAGTGACAAAAAATAATTATATGACTTTAGTAAAATTAAAAGATAGTTAGAAATTAACCCCGTAAAGTTTGAAGATAAAGTAGTACTGATAACAAGTGAATAGACAGAACACAACGAGCAACAAGTTGGTAAAAGAAAAAGAAAAAAATAAAGAGGAAGAGAGAATGGAACAAGATTGACAGATTTTTGTAATTGAGAGATGTAATGCGGGAAACATACGACAGAATGTCACGATCGAACCAAACCATGTCACTTTTTCTGCCTCTGTCTTTTTGAGACAGAGATATCAGAATTATCTCTTCTACGTTAAGCATTCGTACTATTATGCTTTTCAATATTTTCCACTCGTGAACACTTGCATTAATTATCAGTTTTTTAAATTGGGTTTAATTTTTATATATTTGCAGTATTAGTAATTTTATTGGATTAAGTAAATTATTATTCTATCTTTTAGCTTATTATATTAGATTTGCTATAAGGAGTTATTGGTCATTGTGTAGGTCAATTTAACTTGATAATATAAAAGATTTATTCAGGTTAATACACTGTGAGACGTAGCTACTTTTAGTAAAGGAGTTCATTGAATTTGCTTTGTCCAGAAAATTACACATATAAAATGGATAAAAAGCATATAGTATAACATAGGTTAAAGCATTAGATGTGTTACTTTGACGTTTTTTGAATTCAAATTTCTGGCTTTGGCTGCTGAGACTACAGTTATGGCATGTGTTAATGGTGATCATAATTCATAGTACTACTTCATATTATTATTACTAATGTCTGACTGCAGCTATTAGGAGATGCTGTTAATATGCATCTCTCTCCTCTCCTACAAACCTATAAATAACCAAAGGCAGTTCAACATTTCTTTTTTCAAATCTTGAAGCATATTCAGATTCATACCACACTGGTACCTCTCTCTCTCTCTCTCTCTCTCTCTCTCTCTCTCTCTCTCTCTCTCTCATCATATATGTATATATTGATATATGTATGTATGGTTATTCTTCATAGGTGGTTGCTCTGCTGTACGGGGGGACACAGGGAAAAAAATTGTTATAAGAGAAACAATGTCTTCTGCAGGACTGCGGTTAAATGCTCAAAATGACTATGTAAAGTTTTATCTTCTTTTATTCTTATCATTCTAAATTTCTTTTTTTAGAACTTATTCATTTTGTCTGTTCATAATAATTTCCTTCTATTTTTCCAGGTGGTAATCATACACTTAATAACCTCTTTCGTTAGCTTTTATATGTATCTGCCTTATGAGAAATTATCTCAGGAACAAGCGAAAGCTCTGTTTTGCTGGTTAGGTTTCCTTTTTTTGGGTGGGGTNTACGAGACTTGTAGTTAAGGAATCTCATCTATCGCACCACATCTTTATTGATAAAGATTGATTTTTTTCTTTCTTTCTATAAGAGTGTTTACTTTTGTAGGTGGTGATAAACAATGGAGTAGTGGAAATAACATGGACAAATCCAGGGGGAATTATCAGAGGGATAAAGTACAAGGGAATTGACAACTTGCTCGAACTAAACAATAAAGATTTGAATGGAGGGTAAGTATAAAGAAGGTGTTATCACAACTCCTTTGTTTTCTGTTTCAAGCTCTGGTCTTTCCTCTTAAGAACTATTTTAAGGCCTTTAAAATCGTTTTGTATTCTGATGATCAAAGAAAAATGTATTTCTGGACGTACAATATCCGAGTCTGTCTTTCTATCATTTTATTAGGATGATAATCCAGTGTTTTTGCAACCATAGTTGAATAAATAGTGATTTATTTGATGTTGCTGAAACAAACAGGTTCTGGGACCTTAATTGGAGTGAGTCTGGTAGTACAAAAACAAGGGGAAAGTTTGACACGTATGTACTCTTTATCCTTTTCCTATAGAAGAAGTTTAATATTGCTTAGTGTATCAGCTTTAGGGTGCTACGGTCGTAGGCGGAGCCAGGATTTGAAGTTTATGGCTTTAGAATTCTAGTTCTTTTAAGTTACTGGGTTCTAACTTAATAATTTGTGCATATTTAATAATTTCTTAAGACAAATATAAGGTTTGGACCAAAGCTACTGGGTTCGGCCGAATCCGTAGCCGAAGGGCTGGCTCTGCCCAAGCTACAGTTAATTGACCAAGGTTAAGAAGTATAGAGATTGCTTTATCGTCCTTTGTTTTGTTGTGTGGATTATTAATGCAGGATAGAAGGAACAGATTTGCAAGTTATAGTGGAAAATGAGAAGCAGATTGAGCTGTCATTCACAAGAATGTGGAATCCAGCAGTCCAGGGTGAACAAGCTCCTTTATATATTGATAGAAGGTTCTTGCTTGAAGTTAGATAGTTTCTTTTGAAGTTTCATTTCATTTTCTCATAAATGATGACAAACAACTTGGATTCGTACTTATTTGCAGGTTTGTAGTATTTCGTGATGTCCCAGGATTTTACTCATATGCCATCTTTGAGCACACGAAAGACATGCCTTCTTTCAACCTTAACACAACCAGAATCGCTTTCATGCTCAATAAAGAAAAGTAAGAATCGTCATAGCTATTTTCTTAAAATGAAGCAGCATGTTGAAGTGAACGAACTTGATTCATTTGCAACGGTCGTGCTCTCTTTTTATTCGATATTCTTTCATGGGAAAGGAATTACCTTAATAGGCGGAAGAAAGGAAGGAAAAGCTAGGATGTAGTCCAAAATGCATTTGTCCAACGTTCTTTTGAAAGCTGTCTTCGTAAAGAAGAATGTTGTGTCCTTAAGGATATAGAATGACAAATTCTTACAAGATGACCACTGAAAACAGAAGCCAGAGGAAAACTCTTCACTATCTTTATGGCTTTACCAGGTTTCACTACATGGCCATAACAGATGATAGACAAAGATTTATGCCTAGTGCAGAAGACCGGCTTGCAGAGAGAGGCCAAGCGCTAGCCTATCCTGAAGCAGTTCTCCTTGTTGATCCTATAGAACCTGAATTCAAAGGAGAGGTATTATACTTATGGTGAATTACAGCATGAAACGAGGAAGCCTGTATTGTAAATAAAAAGTTAATAGTGCACTTAATTTTGTATTTTCTTTGGATCCGCAAGTGCAGGTGGATGACAAATATCAATATTCACTTGAAAACAAAGATAATCAAGTGCATGGATGGATATGTTTTGACCCTCCTGTGGGATTTTGGCAAATCACTCCTAGCAATGAATTTAGAACAGGAGGACCCTTCAAACAAGATTTAACCTCGCATGTGAACCCGACTACCCTTGCTGTAAGCGGTTAACATAATCAATATTTCTAGTTATAAATTAGAGACAAATAACTGTATGCATCATTTCAGTGAAAAATATGCATTCAATTGTTTTGTAATCCTCAGTATCTCCCAAGTTTTTCTAGTATATAAATTGATCAGCAATCAAAGCCATACATTAGTTTATATGAACACAATCACATAGTGAACTTTCTCTGACCTAACTAATATGATTCCTCTAAATATTACTTCTCACAAGTAATTTCTTAAGATTTGCTTGCAGATATTTCTAACTTCCCACTATGCTGGTCCAGATCTTTTGGTAAAATTCGAGCCTGGTGAGGAGTGGAAGAAAGTCCTCGGGCCCGTGTTCACATATTTTAATTCTGTATCAGACAAAGAAATGGCTCTAACACTTTGGGATGATGCAAAAAGACAGGTTAGGGGCAAAGAGAAGTTGAACCCACAACAGTAAAGCAGTATAGTATTTTTATAACTTGACATAATCTCACGTTCAAATTTATTTAGATGAACAAAGAAGTCCAGTCCTGGCCCTATAGTTTCCCAGCTTCTGAAGAATTTCCTAAGTGTGGTCAAAGGGGCATAGTTAAAGGTCGATTGTTAGTACAAGACAGGTATCGTCCTCTCTTACCTTAATTCAACATTTTGCATTTCCAGGTTCGATAACTATGTTTTCTAAGTTAAGTCCCACGATTTTAAGGAAAGATACTTAAGCAAGGGAAATTTACCTGGAAAAGATGCATATGTAGGACTCGCAGCTCCAGGAGATGCTGGATCATGGCAAAGAGAGAATAAGGTAATTGCCTCCTTCACTTTAGACTAAACAAGAAAAACAGCATTTCAAGTAAACCAGCTCATCTGACATGGATGCAAACCAGTTTATAGCACTAACAGTCATGTTACCGTTTTACCAGGGTTACCAATTTTGGACTACAACAGATGAAGACGGCTACTTTGTCATTGAGAACATACGTGCAGGATCATATAGTCTTTATGCATTGGTACCTGGATTTATCGGGGATTACAAGTATGAAGTTGTAATAACTATAACAGAAGGTTCTATTAAGTAGCAGCATTTTTGATTAGAATCTATGCTGAAACTTATGCTTTATGGAAGGATCTAACCATTAGCATTAATGCAAATGCAGGTTGTAATATTGAGTTGGGTGAGCTTGTTTATGAGCCTCCAAGAGATGGTCCTACCTTGTGGGAGATCGGTATCCCTGATCGCTCTGCTGCAGAATTTTATATTCCCGATCCAAACCCAAAATATGTTAACAAACTTTACATAAATCAAGACAAGTGAGCTTTCTTAACAACTTCATAAAGTTAACCACGCTAGTGTTCAAGAAGCAATAACTGAATATAGAAATTTACTTACATATATGTCTTTAGACCATCAAACTAATTTGAATCAGTTGCACTTCACTTTTCACAGAATTTCAAATTATGGAAGACATGCGAAAATACCACTAAATTTAACACTTTAAGGAATACTTCTGATGTTGTTTCCCTACTTCTGTACAATTGGTAATTCAAAGAAATTTTCTGTTGTAACATTTTCCCAGATTTAGACAGTATGGTTTGTGGGAGAGATATGCAGAGTTATATCCTGATAATGATTTAGTCTACACAGTTGGAGTTAATGAGTATCAAAAGGACTGGTTCTTTGCTCAGGTTAACAGGTGACAACTCCTTGTCTAATATTTTTCCAAAACACTCATATTATGAGTTGTATTAGTCGATACGAAATCATTTTTCATGAAATCCACTTAATTTAGGGGAAAGATTAAATCTAGTGCTACCGATAATTTCCTTTAGACTCCTGAGTTAGTCCCAAGACTCCAAAGAACTGATCAGTGTGTAATTACTTGATGTTTAGGAAGATAGGCGAAAATGCATATCAAAGTACTACATGGAAAATCAAGTTCAAGATTGATAATGTAAATCTGGCTGGAGCATACACATTGCGTTTGGCGCTTGCAGCTGCCAATCATGCTGAACTGCAGGTAATCATATCAGTAATTCTTCAAATAATGTGGACATGAATTGAATTGGTTGGCGTTGTATCTCACCTAGTAAATTTATGTTTCAACTTAATTAGTGGAAGACTAACATGAGTTGAATATTTTTGTAAAAGGTCCGGATCAATGATCCAACAGCAGATCCTCCCCTATTTTCAAGTGGAGAAATCGGAGGAGACAATGCAATTGCAAGGCATGCTATTCATGGGATCTATTGGTTGTTCAATGTAACAATACCTGGTTCTCTACTTTTGGGAGGAGAAAACATCATATTATTGACACAAACAAAGACCGCCAACGCTTTCCAAGGGATTATGTATGACTATATTCGCTTGGAAGGTCCCTCGTGCTAGAGTGAAAACCTTTGATTTTTCCACACAGAGAACTACTCATTTGTTGCCACAAATAAAAAAGATTATACATTTCTACAGCATTCTCACACTTTTAACTAGAGCTGCAGTAATTTGATAGAGATCTCTTCAAGTTGGACTGCCTGAGATGGATTTTACTTTCCAATATTTGGCTACTACATAAGGAGGCAACTTTTATGCATCAAATAATAAAATGCTCTCCTTTCCCTGGTCTTCACTTTTACTTATTATTCAGTTGTTATCAGGGGCATTTGTAGCATTAAGATGACAGGTTCGAACCCATAATTTTCGATGTGGAGCATAAATTTATATGCAAAAATCTACAAAAATTGTAACATATAGTAGATATGAACCCATAGTTTTAAAAATATAATGAGTTCAATGCTAAAAACCTTAAAGGTTGAACTCATATAATTTAAATCATGGATCGATCTGCCTCTGGTTGTTGTCCGCCAATTTACTTAATGATCTAAACTTGGAGTTTATGGTGTCAATTAGCTTGTATATTCAGTCCAGTAAAATGATTTGAGATTTATGGATTATATACTATTACAAAATGAGAACTAGCAACGGATAAATTCTATAACTAAACAGCAAAATCCGTTGCTAATCCTACTTAGCAACGGATTAACAATAAATTATCAAAAAATTCTGTTAGCTATGAGCAATTTAGCGACAGGTTAGTGACGAAGTTCGTAGCTAATTTTAGTTTTTTTTAGTAGTGATAACATGTCAAGAAGAAAAGGAGATGAACAGATTCTAAAGTTGTGACTAATACTCTTAGAATCTGTCTGATCTTTCACTGCATTTATGATATGGCACAAGAGAATTCCTTTTAAAATCTCATTTTTTATGTTGAGGATGATTCAGTCCAGAATTCCTACTGATGAAATGATTAAGAAATTTGATAGAATAGTTCCATCCACGTGCTCCTGTTGTACTAATCACAATGAGGAGACTGTCACTCATCTCTTTTGCAAAAGTCAGATTGCTACACAAGTTTGGCTATTCTTTGGTAGATATTATGGTATCACCTTGAGAATGAATAATATCAGACAGATTCTAATGTGTTGGTGGCTAGCAAAAACAAAGAATAAAATCCATGCTACTTTGTTACAATGCCTACCATTAGTCATATGTTATGAGATTTGGAAGAATAGGTGTGCTTCCAAATTTGAAAACATTCACATGGCATGCTTTAAATACTCTCTTTTTAAATACTCAATTCCCCAAAGTTACTCTTCCTCATCCTTGGCATGCTTTATACGCAGCAGTGGAGACGGCTAGACAGGTCATTACCAGTCAATTAGTAAGGTGGTATAAATCTGATGATGGATGGATAAAATTAAACACGGATGGCTGCAGTAAAGGGAATCTAGGAAACTCTGGCGGAGGGGGAATACTCAAAAACAGTCAAGGTGCTTGCATTTTCGCATTTGCTGATTATTATGGCACTTGTAGTAACAACATGACTGAGGCCAAAGCTATGCTTCAGGGTATAAAAATGTGCATTACTGGTCGATACTGCAATGTAATAGTTGAAGCTGATTCCCAATTGATAGTAGACATGATTAACAACAAAATGAAGGTTCCTTGGCACATCCAACATATCATAGACCAGATTATTCTTCTCTCAAGTAATGGTAATTTTTATTTTGTCCGTACACTCAAAGAGGGTAATATGGCTGCAGATCAATTAGCAAACATGGGTGATAAAGGGAGAAATCGAGTTATCTTTGATGATGAGAGCTCCTTACCAGATTATGTGAAGGCAATTGTGAAATTGGATCGACAGATCATTCCAAACTCCAGATTCATACCAAGGAAGAACTATTTTGTAATTAATGATGCTAACCTTAGATAGTGATGATGTTTGTGTAGTTTTTACAACTATGCTCATAGCATCTTTTTGTGAAGCTCGATGTATAAATACGGTAAAGTATGTAACCACCAAAGTTAGGCAGTATCTTATTGATCAAATGTACACAAGAATGAGTACTATCATTCTCCATCATGTTTTGGAGGCTATGGTTTATATCCTACTCCGTGTACTTATCCTTTTTGATTATCTAAAGGTTGGGGTATAACCTAAACCCCCACCATCATGGTGGACTTTTGTGGAAAAAAAAAAGACTAATACTATGTTTAAAATAGTCCGTAGGAATAGGGGTTGAACTATTTTGGTCCCTGATGTACAACACTTAATTTAAGCAGTATGTATAACAAAAGTGGACATTTTTTATCCTAAACTCTAAAACTAACTTCAGATCATAAAATTCCACCCAAACTGAGAACGTAAGAAGATAAGTAAAAGCGTTTAGAATGATCAATTTACGCCTGTGGCTATTGAAGTTGTGCAATTACAGAATAAATTTTGGATTTCAATTGTTGCCGGACAAATGGGCTATCTAAAGATAGAACTAAAACATCGTAATTTACTATTTTATACGTTAGTTGAGAATGCTTATTTTTTTTTGAGCATATTGATAAATGGTTCGCATCGTAGAACTAGATACTTCATTAGAATTTTTCAAAAGTTTATTTTCCAATATACGAATTTTTAAAACTAGTCACCATCTCTTTTTTCCTTTTGTTGAAATACTTGGTTATGTTTGTGATGGCCGATTGGATTTAAAAAAAAAAAATAATCCAACATTAGTTATCAATAGTTAAATCTTAAATATTTTTATTTGCATTAATCTTAGTCTCATCCTCGTCAATTTCTTATTAATGGATTTTAACGTATGTCAAGTGTCCCTTAATAAGTAAAATTAACTTACTTTAGTACGAAGAGTTTGATGGACAAATTCCAGCAGAGTGAAGACAAAAAAATATTAGATAATTCTTCTATAAATTTTGATAAATAAAATTATTTGTGTTAGCAAAAAATAACAAATATTCAATAAATTAATTTAAATGTATACAAACTAGCTCGAACATAGTCGTGATAACAAAATAAAATGAAGAGTTTGATGGAAATTTATCTTCCTCAAAGGTACTTCAATTGTTTTGTATTTGGGATAGAATTCCTTTAGGAAATAGAGAGCAATAGAAGGGTAGTTTGGTCAATTCAGGTTAACGATTCCACCGCTCGCCTATATATGCCATCCGCTACGAATATTAGGGTATAAAAAGCCCCAAATCTCTTCCCTCTCTTCGAACCGAACTCCTCTCTCTCTCTCTCCTTATTCTCTCACCTTCAATTGTAATTCCCTCAAAACCTGAATTCATTAATTCATCATTTAATAACTGTACATTATTGAAACCTATTTAGTAAGTAGTATTTAATTTTCTCTTGAAAATTTGCCTTTTATTTTGAATTGATTCTTAATTTTTGCAGATCTTGGAAAGGACTAAAAATGGCGACATTCGAGCTGTACAGGAGGTCAACGATTGGGATGTGTTTGACTGAAACACTTGATGAGATGGTCTCCAACGGTATCCTTAGCCCAGAACTCGCCATTCAAGTTCTTGTTCAGTTTGACAAGGTCAGTTTGTTTTTCCCTCACAGATAGATCCAGGATTTTAAATCAGTAGGTGCAGTTTAAAACACTTACCCGCACACAACGTTTCCACCTAATTATACTAATATATCATGGTTAAGTCATTAATTAAGGTGAGAATGTGTATTGATTAACTATGATTTAGTATTCATTCGGTTGGTGTAAACACCGGGTCTGTATAAGTTATAACTTTGTTTTTAATATTTAAACATATCTAAAAATAAAGCACTAATTTTTCGTGTAGCGAAGGTGAACTTGTACACAAAACTATATTTTTTGAAAATTTGTTCAACTATGTATGTGGTTTAAGTTGAGGCCAATGGACTGGAACCCGCTGCCCAAGGACTAAATCTCCTTGCATTTAGTCTCCATGATTTTAAGCTAGAGGCGTGGGATGTCATTGTATCCACTTCCATTTTGTGTTACTGGGTGCAAACTTAAAAATAAAATTACGTTTTTGAGAAATTGTTCAACTATGTATATGGTTCAAGTCTACTGCAATGGCTCCAAGTACTGCATCTTCCCTCGCATTTAGTGGCAACCTATTTCTGTAAGTGTATACTGGCCTTTATATGCATGTATATATGTACATATCCATACAAATAATCTGTTTCTAAAATCATGTATAGCAGTCAAAACATCTTTTCTTTTGTTTGGCTTTTTGGAGTTTAGGCCACGTTTATCTCTTTTGTTGTTGCACTGTTTGCAGTCAATGACTGAAGCTTTGGAGAGTCAAGTAAAGACCAAGGTTACTATTAAGGTACTTGTAATCTGCTTTTGTTTGATGTTATCTTTGTTTGTCAGTTTAGATCCATAATATGAGCTCACACCGATGATATATCATTGGATCAGTTTTATGACTCACATAATTAAGAATCACTGACTCTTTTTGGCTTTTTGGGTCTTTTTTATAAATGTGAAAATTTACTATATGATCTAATTTACTAGTGGTAGTGGCTGAATCTGTCTCTGTTTTTTTTAATGAAGTAATTGGTTTCATTAATGGCATCAAGAAGATGCAAAAGTGTTACAAAACAGAAGCAGAAATAGTTGTGGCTGAAACTGTCTCTGTTGGCTTTATTTAAAAGAATGGAAGATGAAGAAGCTGATGAATTCACTCGTGTGTCTGTTTACATCCATAATACGAGGTCACATCACAATATTTTCATTTGTCCAGTCCAATGAGTCGCATCATCATAAGTTATTTTCATAATCCATATTGTCCTATTAGTTGTTTGGGGGTTGTTGGGGGTTGTTGGGGGGGGGGTTATTGTCCAATATTCCCCACTTGGCCAGGACTCGAATTAAGATATACAGTAGAACATGGGACGTTATCTACCAATGAGCAACATTTCTCTAAACCTCACTTATGTTGTTATGGGTTATTGGCTTGTTTTCTGTTAAGATATCTTTGGCATCTCAAATAGTTTCACCATAAATTGAAATGTTTGTGTCTCATTAGTTGAAAATTTAGGATATCAGCTGGTTCCTCTCATTCTTAACACCATCAATGAATTTGAATAACGTTGTTCTAGAAAAAAACCAAAAAGAGTATAAGGCGGACCTTTTTTTTCTTGATAACCGAGAAATCCCTGAGTGTCAGCTGGCGCATGGTTCAAAACTCGGTTGATAAAGTTCCCGCCCCAAAATTGTTAACTTAGAAGCAACTTTTGGTTGACTGCATCCTGCTGGATTTGTGTGCTGTGTTTGATATCTAGCA